GGCTTAGATGAGGTGGGGGGCAGGGACAGGGGCAGTTCCATCCAGAAAAGGCTGGAACCACTTTGGTCCTGAAAAGGTTTGCTGCTTCAGCCCCTCTTCTCTGCCCACTGCCCTCCCTTTCTGGTGGGCACTCAGAAGTCACCCTCTGAAAATGTGTTGGAATGGTGTTCATGACATTTCTTGGGGCAGTACCTTTTAAAAACATTTTACTATAACTTTCCCCTCCCACCCAACAGGTAATATATGCATAGTAGAGAAAGACTAGGAAATACAAGTAAGCCATAAGGAGAAAAAGTTTCACCTGTAATCCAATATTCAGAGGAAATTCCTCCGAGTAATTACCAAATTACTGTTTGGGTGGGATTACGTCCCAATATGTTTTACTTCCAATACGTTTTTTGTGTGTATGCGCACACACATATTGAAACGTATATATGCATTTTTCTTTACTAAAAAAGTAATATAAGCTCAGTGAAGCAAAAATTTCATTACGAAAACATATAAATGCATGCCTAGCATACCTCTAAGGGTGGACACATCAGACTCTGGTTGCATTGGTTGCCTCAGGCAAGAGAGCTGGTCACAGGGTTCACTGTATTCCTTTTTGGGTTTTTTGGGTTTTTTTTTTGGCGGTACGCAGGCCTCTCACTGCCGTGGCCTCTCCCGTTGCGGAGCACAGGCTCCGGACGCGCAGGCTCAGCGGCCATGGCTCACGGGCCCAGCCGCTCCGCGGCATGTGGGATCTTCCCAGACCGGGGCACGAACCCACGTCCCCTGCATTGGCAGGCGGACCCTCAACCACTGCGCCACCAGGGAAGCCCCCTTTTTGGGTTTTTTGAAGTTTGAAGTATGTGAGTGTGTTCTCCAAAATGTAAGAAATAATAATGATACATAAAATAAAAGAAGAAAGGCTCCCCTAACCACTTCCCTCAATTCGACGCCTGACTCAGCCTAACCTGTGATTTGGTTTGGTTTGTGTCTTTTCAGGCCTTTCTCTGTGCTTATATGATGTATATTCCTCTATGTATTTTTTTTCATAAAGATGGGATTATGTTACATGCACAGCTTCTGTAACATACAGAATAATATAGCATGAACACAGACTGTCTTTTTAAAGGCTGGATGTTTGGGGGTTTTCTTCTGCTTAAGGTGCTTATTATAAGTCAAAGATCACAGAGTCGAGTAAACATAGGAAGGAAAGTCTAAAAGAACACCATCTATTTCAGTATTTTAAACACAGAGCCAGAGATCTAGAAGGAGCTCCATCTGACCCTCAGCTGTGGTCACCCTCAGGAGGAGAAGGGATGGGGGTGTAAACAGGGGGGCTTCTGCTTCGTCAGAACAGTACAGATTCACAGTGAGAATGTGTCTTTAAATATTAATTTATTTTTTTAAATATTGTATAATTTTTAAAAACTTTAAAGAGAAACACTGGAGGACTATGTCTTCCCTCCTGAAAAAATGGGGAAGAAAAGTGCAAAGTGCAAGTTCCCTGTACTCTCATCGTTATCAGCCTGGTGCATATTCTTTAGACCATATTCCCCCACCATGCACTTGTGCACACGTATACACACACACACACACACACACACACACACACACACGTCTTATTTTTATAAAAATGGTAACATGTTCTAGCTTTTTTTTAAATAACAGCTTTATTGAGATATAATTCACATACCATATAGTTTGCTTTTTAAAGGATACAGTTCAGTGGTTTTTAGAATATTCAGAGTTGTACAGCCGTCACCACTCTCTAATTCCAGGACATTTCCATCGCCCTAGAAAGAAACCCCAAGTCACTCCCCATTCCCTCTTCCTCTTCCTCCCTGGCAGCCACTAATCTACTTTCTGCCTTTGTGGATTTGCCTCTTCTCAACGCTTCATGTAAATGGATTCATAACGCTATGTGGCTTTTTGTGACAGGCTGCTTTCACTCAGCATGATGTTTTCAAGCATGTTGTAGCATCGAGCGAGGCTTCATTCTTTTCCATGGCTAATATTGCCTTGTGTGGCTATGCCACGTTTTGTTCATCCATTCATCAGTTGGTGGACATTAGGGTTGCAGGTTTTGTTTTGCAGTTTCCTTCTCTCGCTTACCAAGCTGTCTCAGAGATTTTACCATGTCAGTGAACCTCACTCTCCCTCTGTCCTTTTTCATGGCTTTAGGCTTTGTGTTATCTCACTCCTTTTTATGTGATGGCTGGGACCTCTCAGTGCCCCTGGAGACCCCTGGTTCCCCTTACTGTCACCCCACTTCCCTCCTCCAGAAAGTCTACAGTGGTCACCTAATCCGTGGCTCAGTTTTGTATTGATAGATGATGAAATGGAGTTTCAGAGAGAGGAAGGGGTTCACCCAGGATCATAAACTCAGTGTTGACGGGGTCTCAGCTGAGTTCACAGCCCCTCCCATCAGCTTCTGATGGGCGGGCCCAGATCTGCAAGCCTGACCACCTGACTCCCGGGCCCCCACCTCACCACTCCAGGAGGGGTCTCTGAGCATCCCCTTCCCAGGCCCCTTTTGTAGGAGGGGGTCTTTGGGGAAGGACTTGTTTTGTGGCCCTCACCCCCGCCTTCCCTACTCTTTCCTCCTTGCCTGGAAAGATCCCCCATCAGTCCTTCTCAAATACTGGCTCCCTGCTCTTGGCACCCAGCGTCTGAAATATCAGCCTCTGCATTCTTGCCTCATTTGCATTTCAAAAGGTCTCTTTAGGAATTGATTCGGCTCTAAGATGAACTTAAGAGCCTGTCTGGGGTTCATCTCCCTGGCTCTGTGGTTCCAAGCTTAGCTGCACATTAGAATCACCTTGGAAGCTATTTAAAAATACTGATGCCTGGGACCTACCCAGACCAATGATGTGAGACTCTCTGGGGTTGGGACCTTGGGCATCTTTTTTTTTTCTTTTTAAGTTTCCCTAGGTAATTCTGATGTGCACCCAGGTTGAGAACCACTGTGCTGGCTCCACTCTGTCCCTTGTCCAAGAAGGCACATTTTCTCCTTCCAGGTCTTTGGAGCTAGAACAAGAGCTCTGTCAAGAACTGGTCCCAGGGACTTCCCTGGCGGTCCAGTGGTTAAGACTTCACCTTCCGATGCAGGAGGTGCCGGTTCGATCCCTGGTCCGGGAGCTAAGATCCCACATGCCTCATGGCCAAAAATCCAAAACATAAAACAGAAGCAATGTCGTAACAAATTCAATAAAGACTTAAATTAAAAAAAAAAAGAACTGGTTCCAGGTCAGCTCTGGTTTTGCTGTGGGACCTCTCTCTAGCCTTCAGTAAACTGGGGGCTTGGATTAGATCAGTGGTTCTCACCTTCAGTGACTGGGTGTGAGACGTGGGGGACCAGGAGCCCATGTATTTGGACTACCTGGGAGCATGCTTGAAAATTACCTGCCTGACTTGAAAAGTCAAATGTAACCCAAGGGTGATTTTATATGCCACGAACATGAATCACCCCTCTCTTGGGAAGAAATGTTCAGTGGACTCATGCATCTAACTGAGTGACTTTTTTAAACGTTGAGAAAGTTCAGAAATGATTTTTATAACAATTCTTCAAATTCCCCTCCATTGGGCTTGTGCCATTTTGCATTCTTGCCAGTGAAATATGAGTGATCCTGTGTCTCCATAGTTTCATCAATAGAATGTGCTGTCAGGTGTTTGGATTTTTGCCAATCTGATAGGTGAGAAATGGTATCTCAGTATAGTTTTAATTCACATTTCTCTACCATGATTAGGGTTGAGCATCTTCCTATGGTTGGAGCCATCTATCTTTTTTTGCATGTGAACCGGTTTTCATATCTCTAGCCCGTTTTTCTATAGGTTTGTTGGATTTTTTCCTCTATTTTGTGAATCACTTTACATATTTAAGATATTAACCCTTTGTCAGTGTAATACATTGCAAATATTTTTTCCCAGTTAATTATTTCTATTTTTACTTTTCTTCGGGTATTTTTTTTCCCATGTAGAATTTGCTTATCTAATCAAATGTATCGATTTCTTCCCCTATTGCTTCTGTAGTTTTGAATCATGATGATTATTATAGGCTTATTTTGCTTTAATCTGCGTGAAAACCTACCATTTAAATTGTAAAAAATGATCAGTTCCTCATCATTTCTAAGCGTCTTGTATAGTTATGATCTGTTTTACCATATTCATTTTGTTTATTAGTATCCATGCTGAATTAAAGTCCTCACTAGAATGTCAGTTCCGTGAGCTCAGGATTCCCCCTGAGATGGAGATTTGCATACAAGAGGCTTCTGGAAACGTCCTCTTGGAATAACACCATCAGGGATCGAGGCAGAGGGAGAAGCTGAGCTGCAGAGCATTCACACCAATGGCCTCAGCTGATCCCATGGGGAGCTCTGGAGCTGAAGTGGGAAGGGGGCATGGACCAGTCACTGGATGTGGGTTCCCCGCCCCCCCCCCAGCACCCCCACCCAGGGAGGGCACATGACCTTGGTTGAGGTGGTTGCCCTCAGCCAATGGCCATCACTGGGGGAGGGACTCAACTTTGAGGTCTTAGCCAGGGGAATGTGTGCCCCAGTCCTAAAGGCATAACACTCCAGCATCCCCCTCAAGTACACTGTCTGTTGTGGTCCCTGCTGTATTCTTCATGCCTAACTATGCCTGGCACGTGATAGGTGCTCAGGGAGTCTTTGGTGAATGAATGAAAGACAAACAAGAACAGAAACCCAGATTTCTGGGTCTTGGGCTCAACCCAACTGGATCACAATTTCGGGGTGGGAGAGAGGGGAGGAACCCTGGGCAGGTGGGTTCAGAATCGTCTCAAGTGCTTCTGTCCTGTTCCCCGTTTGCAACCCATTGGGTGGTCTTGAGACTCCTCTGGCTCCGCAGTTGATGCTGGTCAAGGCTGGACATGGCTGGGCTGCGCTGGCCAGGGAGGGCAGGGGCCCTCAGCGGAACCCTAGGCACTGTGACTGCTCTTTGGATGTGCATCATTCTGTGAGCTTTCAGTTCAGTTTTTTTTAATCTCGCTCCAGCATTCCTTGAAGAAAAGAGGAACCCGCTCCCTTGGGAAGACGGACAAGAAACCTTCCATGCAGGTACCTCCCGTCAGCCTCCACAGCCTCTGTGCAGCCCCCAGCAGTAGCTTTCAGTCTGAAGGCCCCAGGCCTAACTCCATGTGGCTCGGGCAGTCCCCAGAGGTGCCCACCCTGCCCCAGTTTCTACTCCATCCTCCCCTTGTTCACTTTCTTAGCTTCGCTGTGTACTTTACTTCCCCAAACTACACCCTGAGCCCATGGTTCTCACATGCTCTACTAGAGAAAGTGCTATATGTAGCACAGGTCAGGCATAGAATATAGTTTCTACTGGTCCTGGATGGTCAGGGTGTCAGGCACTTTTTATATATTGTCTCATTTAATTTTCTTCATGGTCTGTGAGGGAGGGAATGTTATTGCCCCATTTTACAGATGAGAAAACTGCAGTAGTAATGGTAGTAGTAGTAGCAGCAACACTGACCCTGGCAGAATGTTGCCTACTCCAGGAAGCCCTCCTGGACTCCCCAGGCTACATGCGGTGCCCCATCTGTGCTGCAATATATATGTCCCCCTCTCTGCTTCCCCTCTGGACCCACAGCTCCTTGAGGGTCAGGGCTGTGTCCCCAGCACGTAGTTAGTGCTCCCTCAAATGCTGTGGCTGAGCCTTCCAGCACTAACCTTGCTGGGTCGTGCCTGTCCCTGTTCCCCCTCGGGCCGCAGGAGGACAGTGCCGACCTGAAGTGCCAGCTGCACTTTGCAAAGGAGGAGTCGGCCCTCATGTGCAAGAAGCTCACCAAGCTGGCCAAGGAGAATGACAGCATGAAGGAGGAGCTGCTCAAGTACCGCTCGCTCTACGGGGACCTGGATGGCGCCCTGTCGGCCGAGGAGCTGGCGGACGCACCCCACTCGCGGGAGACCGAGCTCAAGGTTCATCTGAAGCTGGTGGAGGAGGAAGCCAACCTGCTGAGCCGCCGCATCGTGGAGCTGGAGGTGGAAAACCGCGGCCTGCGGGCCGAGATGGACGACATGAAGGATCACGGCGGCGGCTGCGGGGGCCCGGAGGCCCGCCTGGCTTTCTCCGCTCTGGGAGGCGGCGGCGGCGAGTGCGGGGAGAGCTTGGCGGAGCTGCGGCGACACCTGCAGTTCGTGGAGGAGGAGGCTGAGCTGCTACGGCGCTCCTCTGCCGAGCTGGAGGACCAGAACAAGCTGCTGCTGAGCGAGCTGGCCAAGTACCGCTCGGAGCACGAGCTGGACGTGACGCTGTCGGAGGACAGCTGCTCCGTGCTCAGCGAGCCCTCGCAGGAGGAGCTGGCAGCCGCCAAGCTGCAGATCGGCGAGCTCAGCGGCAAGGTCAAGAAGCTGCAGTACGAGAACCGGGTGCTTCTCTCCAACCTCCAGCGCTGTGACCTCGCCTCCTGCCAGAGCACGCGGCCAATGCTGGAGACGGACGCCGAGGCCGGGGACTCGGCCCAGTGTGTGCCCGCGGCCCTCGGCGAGGCCCACGGACCCCACACCGCCCGGCTCTGCAGGGCCCGGGAGGCCGAGGCGCTACCGGGGCTGAGGGAGCAGGCCATCCTGGTCAGCAAGGCCATCGACGTCTTGGTGGCCGATGCCAACGGCTTCACGGCAGGCCTCCGCCCGTATCTGGACAACGAGTGTGCCGACTTTCGGCTGCATGAGGCCCCCGGCAACAACAGCGAGGGCCCCAGGGACACCAAGCTGATCCACGCCCTCCTGGTGAGGCTGAGCTTGCTGCAGCAGGAGCTCTACGCCTTCACGCGGAAGGCGGACTCTGCCCTCGGGGGCCCCAACAAGGAGCAGCCAGATCCCTTCTCGATGCTGCCAGCCTTGGGCTCCCAGGGACCCTCCAAGGAGATTCTTCTGGCCAAAGACCTTGGCTCGGACTTCCAGGTAAGATGTCCCAGTCACAGGCCCTATTACTTTTTTTATATATGTATGTATGTTGTTTTTTTTTTACTGAACCATACATACAGAGGCATGCAAAGCACAAGTACACAGCTTAATGAATTTTCCCAAAGTGAGCACACCTGTGTAAGTGTCACCCAGGACAAGAACTAGAATGTGACCAGCACCCCAGAAGGCCCTCCTCAGGTCCCCTTTTAGCCACTATCCCCACTCCCAAGGGTAAGCCCTCTCGATTCAGTTTTGCCTGTCTTTGAACTTTGCATAAATTGAATCGCACAGAACACACTCACCTGTACCTGCCTTTTTACTCACCATTATGTTTGTTGTCTCAGGTGGCAATAATTTGTGTGTTCTCATGACTGAGTATGATCTCATGGGGTGAATATACCACAGTTCTCTTAGTCATTTACTGTTGATAAAGGGATTCATTCCAAAGCCCTGTCTTTTTGCCAGGTCGCCCTTTCTTCTCTTCATGTCTTTTTGCAACGCTGTATTTTAAAATGAGTATTGTTTAAAAAAAAAAAAAAGCTTTGGTCAGATCCTGTGCAAAGGCCAGAAACTTGGCTTTCTAAAGGTAATGAACTTCCAGCCTCGATATCTATAAACTACTACTTAGAAAAATTAAAATAGCAAAAGTACTTGTCCCCCCAAAAAGCATCACTGCAAGAGTAATCCAGAAACATGCAAAGAGTTTCAGAAGTGCCTCTGGTAAAAAGATGAAGCCTCCTGCCTCCCTGCTTCTTACTCCTTCAAGGTTTTGCTATTAACACTGGTTTTGGAGCACTGCTGTCATAGGCACATGTGGGCTACTTAAAATTAAATTAATAAAAAGTACGATACATATAATTGACAATTCACTTCTTCAGTTCAGCCACATTTCAAGGGCTCGGTAGCTGCGTGTGTCAAGTGGTGCAGATCTAGAACATTTCATCATCACAGCATGCCCTTCTAACTCTTTCTCTCCATGTACTCTCATATATTTGTCTTTGCCTCAAATTGTTTTATGTTATACCTCCTGCTACCACACAACTTGTTTTTCTTGTGTAATGTATCTATTTGTTCATTTATTTACGATGCTGTATTTATTGTTCATATGCTTTTTGTTCTTAGTGCTGGAGATGCCATGGTAAGCAAATAAACAGTTATGATTCCTGCCCCCCAGCTGATATCATCTAGTGGGGAAAGAGATGTTAATCAAAATATCATGCCATTGAATGGGAAATCACAAACTGAGATGAGGGCTCGCTAGGAAAGGTGCTGGCTTCTGTGAACGAGAAGCTTGACGTAGACCCTGGGTCAGGGAGGACCTCTGATCTGAGCTGAGATCAGAAGGATGGATTACCAGGGGAAGAGTGTTCTAAGCAGAGGGAACAGCCTGTGCAAAGGCATCATGGCCAGAAGGAGCAGGATGTGACCAAGGACTAAGGGAAAG